TGGTGTGCGCCCGTTCAGTTACGTGTGCTGTTAGCACCAGTAACCATGGCTGAGTGAAGTTTATCTCCGGATTTGCTCTATGTGATGTATGTCAACTCTGTTATCGAATATGCTGATTACACCACTGTCATTGATTATGATGCTGCTACCATGGGGCTATATGAAACATTAATACATAAATGCAGTCAGTGATCACACTATCCGTTACTCAGTTATCGGTTATTCAGTTGTCATCTAGCAAAATTCGTGTGATACTGGATATTATACCTGTTATAATAATTGTTATATATTTATTATCTATCTCTGTGAAATGGACCTCCGACTCTCATGATAAAGTAAATAATAAGCTATTTTAAAATAATAAATTAATAATTTCAACAACCAAGAAAATCAACTTGTTACCTGTAAACTGCACTGTGCACGTAAGTTCAAATGTTATAAAAAAAGTTGGAAATGCGGATTTATATTAAATTCTCTGAACTGTACTGAACAACAAAATTTTCATACTTTATAGTCGAATCTATAATTTACCTATAATTATTTGCATAAATACCCTAATAGTTATAACATTATTTAAATTTATGCGAAATGCTGGTAAATTATCATATCATGATTATAAAACCTTAAACCGTGATTTAACAATTTAAAATTCGTCATATCTTTATATTCTCTAACGGTGTAACATGTATATTATAACATTGAAAATACAGTGATGACTGGCGCTGCTCCCATCCTAAGTAGAAAGCGCTTGCTACCGTTTAACTCAAGAAGGTGGTGGTGGTGATCTAACTATTCAGTAGATGAGTATTATATGGATGAATCATTGTTGTTGATGGTGGTTATTTCTTATTACTTCATATATTTTGAGGATAGCCTACTGCCACTACACTAGTATGCATTTTCATTTGTCTCCATCTTGGTGTTTACAAACGGACATCTTAGAGTAGCTTACGTTCAATAATCCATTTAAAAACAATGACTAGGAACCTGAGCAAATAGATTAAAAATAATAACATGATAATATAAAGCATTTAATTTACCATCATAATAAAATCTTTTGAATTAATATTTAATTGAAAATTATTAAACATCACGATGATAAATATAAGTACTAGAGGAACCAAATTTAAATATAACTAAATAACCATGGAATTTTTAGGTAGTTTCAAATTTTAAACTATAATCCATTTAATTTTTAGGTATTAAGAAAATACCTAATAAAGATGAACAACGGCAATACATTTTCTTACAGTCAGGTAATGCTAAATGGATGAATCTAATACCTAAATATATATATTGATTAGTAATGGAGCACAAAGCACAGATTGAACGTTAGCAATGGATTTTCGGAGATAGAAGCTATGTATACAAATTGATGATATAGCAATGATTTTGGGATGAATTCTCTTATCAAATATTGCTAGCGGACCGTACATTGAAGTATGTTATACGATTTATATGATAAAAGAATTATAGAACACAACAATACAAAGAATATTATACTAATTACAGCTTCAAATCATTGTTATTCCGGATTTTAAGATTTAAAATATTACCTTAAATCGTGTTGGAACCTGGTGGTAGCGAACTAGCGAAGGTAGTGTATCACCATAGACTTATACAATATATAAGTCTATGTGTATCACAAAATAATAATTATTATCATTAATTGTTATTAGGTGTTATTAGTTCCACGAACTAAGATAATATACTTAGTTCGTATTAATTCTTAGAGGGTGGTTTATGGTTAATAAAATGTTTATCTGGACGGTAGAACATTAAAATTGATAACATAATCATGAATAAAAGCGGATTCATTATGTTTGGAATTTGGATAATAATAATAAATACTACCTTTTATTAAATTATTATTTATATGTGTCATTATTAGAAATATCAATTATTAAATATTAAGATTATAGTATTAAAGTATCGTTAACATTATTGATTTTTACTAAAAATTTGAATTAACCATGACATTTTCACCTTAAAAATAATCACAGTTATGAATTTTATTTAAAAGTATGTTTTGTTTATTGTATTCAATTCAAAATTATTTGAAAATTCACTGTGATAATATGTATATTATATAATTATTCGTAAATTATTTTCAATTTTGAATGAAAATTAAAAAAATAATAACTAAATAAAATGAACACTTGTGCTTGTAACTATAAATTAATTATTCTTACATTGAATTCAAAGTATTACCAAAACACATTTTTATCTTCACACTGTAAGTTATTAATAAATTATAATAATGATTTTAATAAATAAATAAATAATGATTTAAATTGTTATTTAGATAATTGGTCCAAGTATCAACGTGTAATTCTACCACGACCCATTTCTAATGGTTCTGCTAAATCTGAAACAAGATATTTAAAACAGCTCCTAATAAAATCTATAAAAATTGCTTCAATGGTTTTTGGTGCATCATTATTAGCATTTGGAGGATATCTACTAGGTTGTAAATTGTTTTAAATCTTTTAAATTTGTACTTACTTATTTCTAATACATAAAAATATTAAAAATTAAATATATTTTAATAATTTGCCATTTTATGTTTTGTTCTTAAATAGTTCTCAATATGAAATAATATTAATAATAATTTTAAGTTAATATTTACAAAAAAAAATAATTTTTTCTAAATTGTATGCTCGAGTGTGTGTGTGTGGAAATCTTAAATTTAATTTTATTGTTATGAATTTATAAATATCATGAACTTTTTACATTCCTAGGGACTTGCTTCTTCTCCTACATTACTAATATCTAACCATACATTACAACACACTCAACACTGTGTTTTATACTAATACTCCAATTAACTGATTTTGTTTTAATTTTTTTTTTCCAATTTTCATATGAACTAATTTTTATGTACCATTGGAATTGCTTAGTATTAACAACATTTGTGGTTTTGAATAATCAAATCCGACAGAATAATTTTAATATTAGTATTCTACCATCAATTTAAAATGCATTTTGAAGATATACAATTAGTTTTGAATTAAAACAAATCTAAATAATTGAAATATATTTAAAATATGTTGATTTTAAAAACCTAATAACTTTTAAATAATCTTTTTTATTTTTGTTAAAAACATAGTGTTTGAAGATGATGATTTAGTTCAAAAAGAAAATAAAAATGTTCCACATATTGTTAAGATCTATGAACAGATATGTTTTAAAATAGAATTTTATCATAAGGTATGTTATGTTTTTGGATTTTATTATAAATTAGTTACATGTTAAGAATAATATTTAAATATATAATCAATTATTAAAAATGCATTAAGTTTCTACTTCTTTGATAATAATTTTGTTTTTATTTAAATGAATTATTTAGTTGTTTACAATTCCTGCAACCAATAAATTATTACCAGATTCATTACCAGATTATTATGATAAACCTCGATATACACTTGTGTTAGAAATTACTGATCTTCTTGTACATCCAGAATGGAGTGTAAGATAATAATTCTGCACTTAATAAGTAAGATGTATTTTAATTATAAATTAAATTGTATTTTCAGTATAGTACAGGCTGGAGTTTTAAAAAGAGGCCAAATGTAGACTATTTTTTGGAAAGAGTTGGAAAGTTTTTTGAAGTAGTTGTATACACGGCTGAAAATGGTTATGTATGTATTTTTTTTTACATTCAATTATTTTAATTGTATTTATTAAAATATATTTTATTAGTACATGGTTATTTTATTTTTATTAAAGATTACTTCTCCAATATTAGATGAAATTGATCCTAATGGTTGGATTCAATATCGATTATCACGTCAATGTGCTGAATTTCGAAATGGTCAATTAGTAAAAAATATTGAAAGAATTAATCGTGATTTATCAAAAGTCATTGTAATAGATTGGAATACGAGTTGGACACAACTTCATCCTTATAATACTCTAATTATACCTAGGTGGAATGGTGATGAAAATGACAACTCGCTTATTGACCTTGCAGACTTCTTAAAAGGTTTGGTTATTCTATTAAATTTTTTAATTATGACTGTTATGAATATTGGTGTAATTTAATATTAATTATAGCGGTATTTGTAAATGAAGAAAAAGATGTTAGAGAGATTTTAAATGAATTTAAACAATATGATGATCCTATAAAGGCATTTCGAGAAAATCAAAGAATATTAAAGGTAAAATTATTATATTAAATAATATTTTTATTTTATTACAACTGGTGTTTTAAAGCAACTATATGTGTGCTTCATTTTAAATTTATTTTGTATGTTTTTGTGCTAAAACAATTAAATACAATCGCAATGTATTATTTTTTATTTTACAATTTCTTATTATTAATACAATTTGCAAGTAATTACAAGTTTAAAATAAATAAATTAGTATGATATTATACATATAATCTTAAGTATAAAACATATTTTATATTAAATAATATAATGTCAAGAGTTGATTATTGATATTAAACCAATCATACCGCAACATCGCATGCGTACGCTTGCGATCAATTTTATGGTGTGGCAAAGTACAAAACATTAAGCGTTCCCTCTCGAACCCGACTTCAGATTCCTCTTTGTAAATGTAGAAATTTTTATAGCATATTTATAAACATAAATCTTATCTTACCCACCCCTTTCCAAGTGGGCAGGTCGTATACACCTGTAAGGTTTTAAGCACCTGCATTAAGAGTACAATAGATATTAATATTATCTAATACAAAATAAAAGAGCTTAGATAATTGAATATTTTATGTATTTTCAAGTTTTGAAAAGACAAATAATAAAATATAAATTGTTTTATCAATAAGTATTGATAAAAATTAAGTGAGACACCATTCATCAGACGACTCCTATAGACATATGTTGATTTGGTTTTAGTTCTATTACTAACTATATCATTTTATAAGTATAATGATTGAACCATATTATAAATTAATTATTTTTATTTTAAAATACTTTTTAGGGAAACTAAGGATGAAAAATAATAATAAAAATAAACAAATGAATAGTGGTTTCATGGATACCATGGATTTTGATGTACTAAAAATGCAATCAATTTATTTATGCATGGTACTTAATACCTGATAAATGCATAGTGAATATCTCTCTCATAATATAAGTTTTTATAACTGAACAATTAAAAATTAAAATTCGTTTAGTTTCCATATTTTATAGTGTATTTTGTACTCGCCTTTTCTTTAAGCTATGTAATCTGATTTTGTTTTATACGGTGTATAATCAAAGTCTGTCGATTTAGAATGTATTTGTTATATTAAAATGAAATATAAGGTTTAAATAAAGTGGTAAAATATATTCTTAAAATAGTCAAATTTTATTGCTTTGGTGAAATGTTCAATGTAATTTACCGGCCGCCCAACACATCTATCCGATAATCAAATTCTTCCCCAGCGTTACTGGTCAAATCTGGTGTCCGGCATTCGCTGGCAGCTCTGGTTACAGTTTTAAAGCTCTTCCAGTTTGTAGTAATGGTGGTACATACACTTTATCATGTAGCCCATAAAAATCATTTTCAATGAAAGGTCAGGGGAGCGTGGTGTGGCGGATGAATATTGATGGTATTAAGCTTCCTTCGGTAATCCACAGCTAGAGTTCCGTTTAAATACGTGAACTAACTTCCACGTCACGTGGTGCTCCATCATTGCGAAAAACAAACTCATCACTATCCACTTATAACTATGAAACAACCATATTTGCAACATATTTTAGATAATATTATTTACCCGTTACTACTGCTGTTTTCTGTAAAAATAGATATCGCTTTTCCTGGAAATTGCAGAAAACATTGATTTTGGTGAATCTCTTTGATGCTCAACAGTTGCGTGTGGTTGCTCTAAAGTATTAAATCCTGACATTATGGCGGTTGACTTTCCGCCGATGAAATCTTGGCTGATCCGAAAAAACAATGCGTGAGACAAATGACAAATTTTCTTCTTGTTTTTCGGATATGAAATTGCAAAAATCAATCCTTTTTTGTTTGTCATCGGTTAGAGTATTCGGTATGCCTTCAATTTCAAACGACGTCGTAGAACACGCCAAACGGTCGAATGTGGGAGATCTAGCTCTAGGCCTGCACGACGTGTAGACTTCTGTGGACTTCGAACGAAACTTTGTCGAACTCGCTCGATGTTTTCGTCAGAGGTACGAGGTCGACCTGAGCGTTTCTGTGCACACAGACAACCACTTTCTTGGAAAGTTTGGTGCCAACGTCGAATGCTTTAAGCAGTAGGAGCTTCAGTTCCATAAGTTCTTCGAAAATCACGTTGAACGGTTATCGCCGACTCGCACTTATTGAAACGTAAGATGCAAAATGCTTTCTGTTGCGGAGTCGCCATAACGAAACAAACTAACGATTCCTAGTTCACTAACCATTACGGTGCCAAATTTATCAACTAGATAACTTAAAATAAACTTGATTATCTAATCTTTCCATTAATACATTGGTCATTAACCTGCGTTTAACCGTCGCCGAACTATATCAGTTCGTAATCGGATGAAGACTTTTGAAACACCGTGTATTCAATATATTTTAAGAAATTGTTGCACATACGTAAAATATATTATAAAATCAGCTGTTGGATTTGTACTATTTACTAAATTCTTATTATTTATTTCTAAGACTAATAAAATATTGTTATTTAATTCTTTTGCTTCAAATCTAGTAATTTTACTACTATATTACTCTATGGTATAACCGCCATGTACTATTTACTAATATATTTCAAATTTTAATAACTATGTTATTTTATGCTTATCCCATTTTATTCAACAAATAATATAATAGGCAGGTGACACCCAAAATCTTATTTGTTATAAATTATGATATTCTAATACCATACATGGTGATTCTGTTATTAAGAATATTCAATATTTCAAAAGATGTAGTTTTTGTAAAAAATAAAATAAATTATATATACAAATATTTAGCATCATAAAATTGGTAGTATTTACTGTTAATTGTTAATGAACGATAATCTAATTTTTCATTTCATATTCTAAAGTATATACTTTTACCAGTGTTAGGATACTTCATAGTAGACAGGATATTCAGCAGAAGTTACTTATAACATTGATTATAGAATATTTTATAATCAATACTTATAAGTTATAAAGTTACAACAAATTAATTATTTGCCTGAAATTTTATTTTATTTTGATATTGACATATTGTGAAGACATTAATGTATCAATTTTGTAATCTACAGTGGTGATATAATATTAAGAAAAGAGTAAGTAGAGAAAATGTTTAACACCATCTCTTTAAAACAAAAGTATTAAAATTAAAGATATTGAATAAGAATTGAAATCGGATTCTGCCTTTTATCAATAGTTTTTTGAAGACGACTGTGTTAATATTATGGTTCATCAGAGTTTTTCGCACCTACGGGTGTTTTTGGCTTGATAATGCTATAAAAACAAATCATAATTAATAATACATAAACGAGCAATGTATTAAATAGCCAACATGTAACACACAATAAATTTGGTTATAATTATAGCACACAAAAAGTATTTATACATATTAATTACCCATCATAATTCAAGGTCAACGCATTGCTCACACGTTTTACAATCTTCACAGCAGTTTCAACACTCATGCCATCGAAATCAGCAACTGTAACTGCAAAACTCCCAGTAGCAAAAAAACGAAGGGTCAACAGAAACTGTGTCATTGGAGTATTAGGATCAGTACTGAAACATAAATAATGGTTAAGTCTTACCTATTTGTTTAGTTACTATAGGATATCAATTATTAGCAATGTTTAATTTCTAATACATTAAAAGTAATAAAGAATAAACTAGCACAGTTCATAGGTTCTTTAAGTCTTACATTATTATGTACACTCATAACAAAATAAAACATCAATTAAGTAAGTAATAAAGACAATTCAAATTACCTTGCTGTAAAGAATAGTATGTCATCGGATATTTCCTTGAGAATGCGCAGCACCGATGTTTTTTTCAGAAGAAATTTTCTGATAAACTCCGGGTCACTATAAGCTGTAAAGTATACATTTTTTCGAGCGTCATCATCACCTTTTTGGTCTTCATCAGAATCAGAACCAAATCTGTTGCCAAGTAATAATGAATTAAGCTTAGCTCTAGACATTATTATGCGGAATATAGTATCGAAACACAATACACAACTTATGTCAAAAAGACGAAAACACAAAATGGTCGGCGAAAATTATAACACGAACGACAAAAGATCAATAAGTAGTTTACTAGTTTGTGTCGCTGTTTAATAGTTAATACTATTGTATACAGCGCCACAGCGGTAGTTTACAACATTACAACTGGTGTCGCGGCAAACCAGTGTGTCACAGACCGCGGCACACCATTACACCAGTGTGCCACGAGCACCTTTGAAATGTGCCGCGATAAATCTATTGATGGAATTAATTTTGTATTTTTATATATATATATGTGTATTATATATAAAATTATATATTTCACGTATTATATGAATTGGTGTGCTGCAAAAATGTTGTAGAAGAAGTGTGCTAGGTACATTGTTAAAAAGGTTGAAAACCACTGATATACAGTATGACCGGGAGTAGGGAACTATACATAATGTATATTATAGTGCCTTACCGGTTGATGGTGGTTTACCGGTAAGATAACCGTTATAATTCTGTCGATTATCATCATTCAATCCGACCGTAAAGTAACCATTTTACGGAAACGTCATTACGGAGACTAATCACCTAACCGGAGATTGTAAGAACCAACTGTCCATAAAAATATTAGACGAACCGCCGGTTAGCGTTAATCGACACTTTACATCAATGATCTCAAACTCAAATTACCTACGGGCCATATATTTTTTCAAAAAAAATTCGCGGGCCAAATTTTAAGTGTCACTTTTATACTTATACACTAGAAACTAAAGACAAAATGAAGGCAAAAATACATACAAAATCCATTTATTTACTTTTTATTACTACAAAATTATCATTGAAAAAATATAATGATCGTTAACTTAAAAAAAAATTATAATTAAAATTTAAAAATAGCTTGAATATTTGATAATTTTTATTTTTGAGCTGCACTATTTTCATATTTTTGTTCAAAATGTATTTTTATTACGGGCCACATAGAAGGGGTTCACGGGCCACTTGTGGCCCGCGGGCCGTATGTTTGAGACCACTGCTTTACATTGTAAGAACGGGCCTAACAATAATAAGAAAAATACAATTTTCTATTACGTTTAAATATGTTATATTCTATCTTCTGGCTGCACTGTAAATATAACCGTCCAAATTGTTTTCAAATTTTAATAATTCGAGTACGTACTATACAGGTAATAAGAAATTACTAATAATGTAGAATCTATCCATAAAAGTGTATGGAATAGCTTGAGGAATAATGTGTTTATACTGTATTAACAATAAATATTACTGTAAGTAGTCAGTGTCCAGTGATCACTGCTCCGTGAGTAACTATTACAATTATTTATTGTTAGTTCGTTATCGGTTATTCCTCTATGGCTGTTAGTGGTTGTTTTGAATGTAAATGTCAATCGTAAATATTCTTTAACTATGGCTATGCTCCTATGGTAGTATGGTTCGATGTTCACTATTCACTCATCACTCGTCACTTCGTCTGATAATTAATGAAATAATAAGTGAAATGTCTGGTTTTTTTTATATATAGACATTGTTCGTGTATTTTTAGTTGTTAAAATTTTATGTTTGTCTTTAAAGATTTATGATAAAGGTAAGTGTACATATATTTTAATTTTTTGTGTTATTTTAATCAGATTTATACAAAAACTACCATATCTTGTACATTATATACTGAATACGTAGTATTAAATATTTATTGTATATATTCAGTAATTTTATAGAGAAAATAGTATTACTAAAACAGAATCTATTTCTCAAAGATATATAGGTAGCTCAAAATTATTTAAAATTTATTCTCGCAAATTTATGAAAAACTATTTAAGTACACTTATATTTTTAATTTTATATTTCATTTATGTAATAAACCAGTTTCCTAGTTTATATTATTATACTTATCTTTTACAAATTCTATAAAAATAAAGTAATTTGCTCTATTTGTATATTAGTTATGTAATTTTTTCATTTATTTTGATTTCATACTATTTAAAAGTCATGAATATCTGTAAGAGAATTAAAAAAAAAAAGGAAAGTTTTTAATAATTATATTTACTTCTTGGCTTACCCTATGAAATTTTAAATAATTGATGTTTAAAATAATTATTATTTTGTTTATATTAAAATTATTCAATAAAGAAATTATATAGAATATATTTTTTGATATTTGAACTTTTTGAATACATATCATAGGTACCTAAAACATTTGTTTTAATAATAATATAAGTTTCTTTTTTTGGCTACCTATTAAATTTACATTATATGTGGGTTACAAATAACAATGTTCACACAAACTATTTATTTTTTTTCATGAGATATTATGTGTGCATTAAATCATAAACTTGTATAAACAATTTAAAATAGTGACTTATGTTGAATATATTTAACTAAATTTATGTCCTTGGAAAAGTAAATTCTCTTTTGTGATAAAAATAAACGAAACATATACCTATTTAAAATAGATATTATTGAAAAATAAAATTCAAATGTGTAACAACAATTTATTAATATGTTTAAAAGAAGTTTTAGTTTCTGTATTTCTTCATCATAGGAAGATGTTACAGTTGTTTTACTAGTTTTGAAATGGCTTAGTTCTCTACCTACAATTACAAAATAATGTATATATTTTACATATAACACACTAGATTTTTTTTTGTTTTATTTATTATTTAGAATTGTCACTATGGATGCTTATGATAAATTAGAAAAAATTGGTGAAGGGACCTATGGAGTTGTGTACAAGTGTATGGAACGTTCTTCAAAAGAAATTGTAGCAGTAAAGAAGATACGTATGGAAATGGAAGATGAAGGTATACCAGCTACTGCTATCAGAGAAATTAGTATATTGAAAGAACTTAACCATCCAAATATTGTGAAGTAATTTTAATTAAATTAAAATTTTTATGTTTTTATATTTAATTTATAAATTGTATTTAGTTTAAGGGAAATACTTATGGATGACTCACGATTATATTTAGTATTTGAATTTGTCCCCATGGATTTAAAAAAATTCATAGACTCTAGGCCTAAAAAACACTTAGATGAAATGATGACTAGATCTTTTACTTATCAGGTAAATTTGTGTTAATCAAGTTCTAAGAATTCTATTGCAAATTGATTATGTTTTAGTTATTAGTAGCCATCTATTATTGTCACGTGAGGAGGATATTACATAGAGACTTAAAACCGCAAAATATATTAGTTAATATAAAACATAATATATTAAAAGTTGCTGATTTTGGTTTGGGTCGTACTTTTGGTTTGCCAATTCGTGTTTACACACATGAGGTATGTACAATACTTTGGTTTTTAGTTAGGTAAATTATAATACTTTTACTTCTTAATTAGGTAGTAACATTGTGGTATCGAGCTCCTGAAGTGCTATTAAATACTCAATGCTATGGCTGTCCAATTGATATGTGGTCAGTAGCATGTATATTTGCAGAAATGGCTTGTGGAAAACCTTTATTTCAAGGAGATTCAGAAATTGATCAACTTTTTCATATTTTCAGGCATGCAAAAATTTTTAATTATATTATATTGAAAACTCAAATTATTTTTAAACTATTTTTTAAGAAACCTTTTATTCACATTTGCTTCATTTTTAAAGATATATAATATAATATTACAAATAAATAAGTGTATACTAAATATTCTGTTTATAAGAATATAATACATATATACTATATTTAGTAGTTCATTTAAAAATATATTTAAACATTAGCTTTCTACATCCAGATTGTCAGACCTTTTTAACTTGATAATAAAATATTGAAATATTTAATTTTAATATTCTAGATTTGAGTTACTAAACTAGCTACTTCAGTTATTTAGTTTTTTATTCAATTCAGTTTAAATAAAATACTTGGAATAATTTTAAGAGTAAAAGAAAAAAACTTATAAATATTTCCGGTCTTTAATTTTTTCCAATTACCTCATCACCATATTATATTGGCTGACAATATGTGGGTACTACATACTTAATTTTAAATGACATTGATGCATTATTAATATTAATATAAATTTCTGTTTATTTTAGGATATTAACTACACCAAATGAAAATACATGGCCTGGTGTTTCAGAATTAAAGGACTACAAACCTTCATTTCCTACATGGAGCGAAAACATATTAAAGAAGTCTGTCAAGAATATAAATAATGTGGGATTGGACTTACTTCAAGTATAATTAATTACAACATTAAATTATCTAGATTAAATTTATTTATTAATTTTCTCTTACAGAAAATGTTGATCTACAATCCAAGTAAACGTATCAATGCCAGAGATGCACTACAACACCATTATTTCAAGGATCTCAATAAAAATACTCTTCCAGCACTTCCAGAAATTAAATTTTGATATTACAATAATTTCACAAATATTATCTAAGTACAAAAATGTTTTGTTTTATTAAAGTTAAACATTTTTATTTTATATTAATAAAATTATGAAAACTAGAATTTAATATTTTATATACGACAGAAATAAACAATAATTTTCTTGTAATTTATTTTATCGAACCCAAGTTCACTGCATTTGGATGAATGCTATGTCTAAGGAGTTATTTATTTTTAATTTATATATTCATTTATTGTATTTTACTTGAAGAATGAATCTTTTAAGGTCAAATTCTTCTAAATGACAAATGTTTATTTTTTTAATCAAGACTCATCAAAATTATAAAGTATTTAAGAATTACTTTGAATCAAATTGTTTGAAATTCAACTACTTTATATATTATTTTTTCGCTTGTGGAAAAATCAAGTATCTAATAATTAATTCAAATTATGTATAAGGAATACTTAAAAAAATGTATACTTTATCATTCTGTTAAATGTTTAACCCAACTATTTTTGTTACCTTAGTTATTGCCAAGTGCTAACACATTATATAATATAGATGGATAGGACGATATGATACTTAAAAAACATACTGTATGAGATTGTTTTGTAAACTTGGCTGCGAAACGTTTACTAAAACATCAATGGGCGCATTTTCAAGTACGATTCCATTTAAAAATTAAACAGGATACCGGAGTGGCAGAGTACTTGATTGTGAATAGGTATTATTCCGCAAGGGGTTTAGATCCTTTTGAAATAATTCTCATTGACCCTAGTCTGATACTCTTTTGTTCTGAAAGTCTGTACCTAATATTATGGTGATATCCTTAAAATTTAACTTCTAAACCTTAGTTATCAATCCATATCATGATTAAATAGATGGACTACTTTAAGATAGACTATTAGCAGTCTATGAATTATGAAACACTATGTTGTTATAATGCTATTTAACTATCTAGGTATTTCAATTTTTAATTCCGATTAAAAATTGCTTTATTTGAATTATGATTAAAAAATTTAATTTATGATTAATAAGTGTTTAGCGGGCCTTATTTTTGTTTCAGGCGTGTGGTAGCACTGCTTCAGCGTACAATGTTGTGGATTGGCTGGTCGACGGTAAGAGACCAATTCGTGGTTGCTCGTTTCTGTCTGACGTTTGCGCGGTGTCGCATAATCTCATTGGTGACGAGTATTTCGGCCAATCGTTGGAATAATCTCCGGACCAATATCCCGCTGTCCAATGTAAGTTCGCCTCGAAATTCGCACTTAACTTTATACGCTAGTTGTAATGCACGCGCGAACCCGCTAAAGGGCTTTCTGTTAGTTCATTTTTTGATTTGACCTCGGTGGGGAGTCCTGTACTCGAGTGCTATGACGACGTTGTTCGTAGCGGCCATCGCTCGTACCGCTGAGTTCGCCATGGGAAATCCGTTGCATCTGGAGCCGTCGGCTTGTCTGACTCCCAGTTGCCCTGTGATCTCACCCTCCCTTCTCAATCCACCATCTTAACATATCAAAATTTTTTTTTTTATCGATTAATTTTTTGTGCCCGGTCGACATCATACGTTTTATGCTAATTATAATGAGTCTGATGACAACTGTACCGTTTTCAGTGGAAGTAATAAAACCCATCGATCATGGACCAACAGATCGGCTCAGACGGGAGCAGTGGACACATGACTGTTGTCCAAGCGATTCCGACGACCAACAATCAAGTGCAAGTTGTCCAGGCCGGCCAGGTGATACAGAGCGCTAATGGTCAGCAGATCGTCGTGCATGCTGTTCCCCAAAATGCTGGCCAATCAGTACACTTGGGTTCGCCGGGTAACCAGCAATTGCAGTTGCTCCAACTACCCGTACAAGTATGCATACTTTACCTTTTTAGTCCTTCTTTTGTGTGTTTGCAGTGTTAGTGTTTGTCTTTATTATGGTACTTAATTTAGCAGCAGGCGCAAGCGCAGTTAATTCAGACACCTGATGGACAAACATTTATTTACCAGCCTGTACAAGTTGATAATGGGCAATCGATTGCTCAACAACAAACTCAACCAACACGTATGTTTTACTTAGCACTCATTATTCTGGTATTTACAAGTCACAATAACTGTTATTATTACTTACTATATTTTCAGTAATAAGCATAAATGGAAATATCATGCAATTATCCAGTCCACCATCAGGTGGTTCACCCACTGTCACTCAAGCAGCTACGACTGTTGCACAAGCAGTTCCCCAGAACCAGCAAAACATTGTTATGGTAATATTGATACTCATACATTTAATTAAATCAAATATTTTAAATTTTTAATGGTCCTTTAAGAATTGTACTGTATCCATTATACTCTTCATCTTATCCAACTTAATTTTTCTATACTCATTTCTTGACTACTAATTCAGGTTTTTGATTTATCTAATGTTGTCTCAGCCTGAATACTTTTTCCATATCTTTTCCTTAAAGATTTTAGATCTCTATAAGAGGTTATTCCATTCGAATATTTTAATCATTACATATTAAAAAGTAATTAGATTACAATTACTATAGACTTTAGTATATCATTTTTAGTCTTTTTTTTTCTTAGAGACTTAAAATTAGCCACCAGTGAAAAGTGTAATTTTCAACTATCTTCTTGTTATTATTAAATTTGGCAAATAGATTCTTATGTGTTAGTTTGAAATGGGGAAAATAAACTATTATGTTCCAAGTTTTTTTCAAATAATTTTTAACCTATTAGACTAGTGTTTATATTAAGCAGTTGTGTACTTGTATATACAACTATTTTATCAAATATTATATATTATGATAATATCTGCATATACAAGTACAGTATTTTTGAATAATATCTTAAAATCTAGGCCTATTGTTTATCAGATCACCATCTTTTCTTCAATGCTAAGTTGTTAATTTAAAGATGGTTGGAGACAAAGCATTACATTTGTAATTTAATTATTTTTTATGCTTAAAGTATTCAAAATTATTCTAATGTTATTCATAGTTTATCTTATAATATTTTATTCTATGGTTGTTTAAAATGTATAAATGTCTTTCCCATGTTTATTATATATTTCTAAAGTCTGTTTAATATTAAAAATATACTCAGTAATAACTAATTTATATTAGCTTTTAAGAGTACAATTCTAGTTATATCAGAATTGCGAGTAAAAATTTTTATATCTATAGTTAGGAGTTAAATCCCTCAATTATTTTTTTGTTTGTGGAGTTAGTTTTCTTATAGATGGGACAGATGATTGCTATTTGTTTTCTTAGATATTCTACACTTAGGTTACCAACTGTTGTATATCTATTTTAAATAGTTCTAGATTAATAATAGTATTGGTTTTTGTAGTTTTAATATTAGTGAATGTATCAATTTAATCAAACATAATTAAAAAAATTTATTATAGATGGTACCAAATGGGACTGCTACCAGTAATAATCAATTTCAACGGGTACCCACAACAGCAGAGTTCCTTGAAGAGGAACCATTGTATGTAAATGCTAAACAGTATAAAAGAATACTGAAAAGAAGGCAAGCAAGAGCAAAATTAGAGGCTGAAGGGAAAATTCCAAAAACTCGACAAGTAAACAATATCATTTTTTTAAAACTTCAAATATATTAAATGTAATCAAACATTTTTATTTTAGAAATATCTGTACGAATCGCGTCACAAACATGCTATGAATCGTATACGAGGAGAAGGTGGCCGTTTCCATTCGGGATCCCTAAAGAGAATGAGTATGTCAAGTAGTAAAAATATGCAAAATGATGACTGTAACATTCGAATGGACAATCACAGTTACCATGTAACTATTAAACGTCAAATTGACGATGAACAAAATTTGCAATCGCATAATGGATTAGTTTATAGCATAAGTGGCTAATAAAAAAAATGCCTATTTTCTCATTTGAACTAAGAGTAATGTGTTAACTGTTAAATTTAAAAAAGTGTTTTTGAATTATCTTAATTACTTGTAAATTTTTAAGACTTAATTTTAATTTATTATTTTCTTTTTTATTAGTATACTTTGTTGAATACTATAGTCACCTTAGTGAAGTATGAGATTATCATTATTATTTTTCTTTTTATTTGTAATTAAGTTTCCAACCTTTATAAAGTTATAAGTAGTTTTTTTTTTCAAATGTACATAATATAAATAATTAAATAAATAAAAACTTATTTTTTTTATGAAGTCTAAAAACATATCTTCTTATTGAACAAGTTAGTATAGATTCTATAATAACACTTGATATTTATACATTTAAAATATGAAATGAAATGTTTAATGTACAACATTATACAGTAAAATATTTTATAAATAAACATTATCATTGATTATAATTTTTTATTTGTACATTCTACTTACTACATGTGTTATATCACTAAATATTCATAGTGAAATGTGACAAGGGCCAAATTCGACAAATAACTCGTCCATGTATTAATCCTTTAGGTACAGGACCAAACTCCCAAGAATCTGTTGAATTTGTTTGATTGTCACCTTCCAACCATACTGAGCCTCTTGGTACCTATACAAAATTTAATAATTCATAAAAATAAAAGTTGGTTTGAAGTCTAAACACTTAGGTATGTAAACTGTCGAATAGTACTATATCTAGACTTAGTCTATAACAATAGTGGATGAACGGAACTTCACCATATTTAATAACTGGTATATATTATAAGAAAGAACCATAGAAAGTATATTATGTAATATTTGTGCACCAGAAAATGAATTTCAAAATTAGGAAGTAAGAAAGGAATAGTACACACTACACTGTTAAAAGTTATATAATAAATTAGGTGCCAATATATTTAAATTAATGTGGATGGGAGAAATGTTAGGTCTGATGCACATGGAAAAGTAAGCTACAGTAGAACTCTAACCTTAAGGACGGGTTATGATCAGATTATCTGAAAATTCAGATTTATAGTATGTACAATGTATAGTAATTAAATTATATAATTTATTATACATAAATTAATACTAAAAAATTGAATGCGAGCATATATATATATATAGTAAAAAATGATTTAGAAAAACATTGAATTAAACATATTTTATTATTTTTATACCTGTTATAAATTGGTAAATTCAAATGTATTTTTTAAGCAATATATTAAATATTGATGATATTATGGCAGATCAACCAGAATAGTGGACAAGAGAGGCTTTACTATAATATAGTGAAAATGATTTATCCATCAGTTACTATCATAAGATTGTTGTCAAAACAAAGTCTCCAAAAATACCATTACAATTCTTTATAATCTTACCACTTCATAATTTATTCCTCTTCTAACCATTTGGCCATCAACGGCTTTCACTCTCTTCAAAATAAATTTTTTATATTCTTCAGGTGATTTTGCAACAACTAAATCTCCTTTATCTACATTGTTGAACATCTTTGAGGAACGTAGAATAATTACCAAATCGCCAGAGTGAATAGATGGCTCCATGGAATCACCTGAACACTAAAATTATCCAATAAGAATTTAGTAGGTTATGTTAGGTGTTTAAGTTCACAAAGATAGTGACTACTTACTAAGAATATATCTGCTACATATTCTGTTATGCAGTGAGCAACACAGAAATATTGAAAAGATGTAAAAACAAAACTTCTTACTTTTTTAAACATAATTTATTGAAAATATGAAACTCAATAATAATATGAGTATGTTATTAGGCATCAGTTTTTTATTATTATTATAGAATAAATACATTTGTAAATTGTATGATGATTAGTCGTGTCAATGACCATAATATTAAAAGTATAAGTTAGTTACATAAAACAAATTAACTAAAAAATAAAATCTTTAAATTTAAAATGTCTTGTAAATTAAACTTCCAGATTATTTAAAATATTTTGACATCATAATTCATAATTTATACTTTAAACTTTCATAATAATAATTAATAAATTATTTGACAATGTAGATACATAATATTAGATAGGTAGGTACTAAATAATACATATTAATTAATAACGTTATATTAATCTATTCTGTGATAGTATGAGATAATTGATAATAATATCACGAAAGCTTGCCGGTATCCACAATTTGTTGATAAGATGAATATCATAAATTCTGAATTCACGACTTTTTAGTATTGACAGATTCGTTCACTTTTTTTCTGAATTGTGAGTTATTATGTAACTTTATTACTTTGTATTCAAAGTTCATACAACTAAAAATATATTATTATAGATTATAATCCACTATCCAGTGACTATCAGCATATTTTCTACAGACCACAGAATAGATTAAAATAAAAAATCTTTTTTCCTGTGGTACGGCAGTTTCAAAAGATCGATTCTAACAGTGTTTTGGCGGGTTGTAGTCTGTGTAATTTTAGATACCTATTAGTATAATAGCACAGATATATATATCTGTGTATAATAGTTAATAAATTACTATTCTGACCTTGGATACCATATACATCACAGTACATACTAAGTCACTAATTAATAATTATTTTATGCCTTCATTAGATCACTGAACAACGGTTAGGTTAGATGAAACTTACAAGTAAAAATAAAATACAATCTAGCTCCTTAAGAAATCTGAGCTCAGATTTTTTTAAATATACCCAGTTTTACATTTAAACTTTGTCCGACATATTTAAAGAAATATTTTACATTAACCAAAGGACACCATGATAAATGGATAATTTAGTCTTTCATTCAATTGAATAGTTTATAAAAATTGTTGATATGTGTGATTGGTTTTTATATTTTAAAAGAATACAAAATATCAAATATTACATAAATAAATTGTTAATAGTGTTTGATCATATACAGTTATTTTTTAGTTAGCCAGCTTAACTTAACATCACTAGATGTTAAACATCGCTATAAAAGTACCAATAAATAAACATATTCTAGCATAGATTTAATTATTGTACACATATTAAGACATTTTATTACAACCATAAGTTTATTATTATTATAATATAATAAATAAGGTACACATTTATTTTTTTGAGCAAAACAAATAAAATAATAAATTGTATAAAATAATATTTATTACACAATAAAAATAACAAAATTATATTATAAGTTTGGACGAAGTAGACTAGTTAAATTTTCTAATAAGTAACATAATTTGATATACTTTATTATTAATTTAAATAAAGCACTATTTTATCACAAAACATTTATCTACACAAATAGTTCATGTTAAATAGCATTAAGAGTTAGTAAAATTTCCATAAATTGGTAATAAATAATAACACTTAACTGGAGCAGTTTTTATTTTAACTTCTAAATCTATAATTGATAAGTGTTAGTAATACAGTAAATTGTCAATTTTTTTATTGAATACAAAATCTTTAGTTGGTAATAATATTATAATCAAGTAAAATAAAATAATATTAAAAAAAAAAAAGTTAATTTAATTTTAAGTGTAATAATAAATAATACTATTGTTATACATCATTCATTTTTAATTATAAACAAATAATAATGTCAGAGAAAATTTAATATTCAGTACAAATTAAAAACAATAACAAATTATAGTTAAAAAAAAACATTATACAATCATGGACATAAACATAAATTGAACATAAAATAATAATATTGTGTTTTCTTTAATTAATTTTACAAAATAAAGATCCTAAAATATAGTGATACTAATGTCATAAAAATGTCAACATGAAAGTATGTCATATACTATAAGTAGTAGGAAATGATATAATATTAGTAAATAAGATACTTATAATTATTTATATAGGCAGCTTAGAAAGATAAAGGATCAATAAATCAAAATAAATATAAAAATAATATTATTGTTGATTACATGACAAATAACAACTAAAAGTAAAATGAAAAATTAGATATTGTTTTCATTATTTCTCAAGATGGAACAATTAATAGTTTTAAAGGAAGCATTTAGTATATAATAAAAAATACTTTAATTTAAATTTAAAATGAAGATATAAATATTATAAACAATGGTTGTTAGCAGAAAATAACATTTTATTTTCTTTATTAAAATATTAGTTTATGATAATTTTATTTTCATACCTGATAAAAATGTTTTTGATTTTTTTTTTGGGATAGAATTAAAAACTCAAATCAACGTTGAAAGATTGTCTATTTTTCATCACAACCATAGTTTAATTCACTTTTATTAAAACAAATTTTATTTAATAATAATTATGAATAAAATTATCGATATTAATATTTTAAGATATGATTTTCTACTATAATACTTTAGTATTTTCATATTTGTAATTACTATTAAATAAAAGTTTTAAGAGCAAATAGCTGAGATTCAGATTATTGTTGGTGTTTATGATTTTAAGATATTGCTACTTTTGATATATTTTTTATTTATAATTAACTAAATATACTAGTTAAGTTAAATAATATTTAATACATTTTATACATTGATTATGTTACACGATAGTCGTGTACTAGATCTATTCACAAAAAAAAAAAAAAAAAATCCTTAATCTATATTATGGATTATAAATAAAACAGAAAAATTACTAAGATAAAATTTTTCTTTGGTTCTATAGTGTTATAATAACATTAAATTTAATATGCACCTAAATAAATTAACATAACATATCCATAACAGAAAAATAACATGTTTGCATTTTTTGCAAATCAGTAAAAAATTATATTAATAATAAACATAAACAAAAAAGGTTTATTCTACAAAAGAATAACAAATGTCATTTAAATTTATGCAGTAAATAGTATTATGAAATATTGGGATTATATATTTAATGAAAAAAAAAAAGTTTAAGAAATTGTTTCACTTTTAATAGATTTAATACTTTGGTTCCATGCAATTTCGTTTTAGGCGCGTTTTATTTAACTAACAAACAATGAGACAAATTATGAATTGCATTTTACTAAATTCAACACTAATCTACTAAACAGCAATTCTCAACCAGTGTTTTAAAGTACACTAGTGTACTGTATTGTGTTATGTATGGTCTTATTCATAAAGAAAAAAGAAAATTTTTTTTTACATCATGGATTTATTAAAAAAAAAAATCCCATTACTTAGTTTTGTTAATCAAGATTAAATGCATTGAAAATTATCACAAGATGTTTATGATGAATAATTATTAGTCCAATGTATTTTTGTTAATAGTTTTGCATGCATTTAATAATAAAAAAGTGTTAATATTGGTAAGTGTCATATATAGTATTATTAATATCTATGTTATAAACTATTATATTATTAGTCGATAAGGAGGGGGACCTAACTATAATGTACACTGTTATTATTAATTGTATTAAGTTCAGTCTAATCCCAACGGCCATACTGTTAGGCTAGCAATGTTGTGTTATACTAAGTTTGCCATGTGCCTTTAAATAAATGAACAGTATTTTTAAGTTTTGTTAATAAAAGATAAATGTTTAAAAAATTTCATGTTGAAGAAATTTATGTTGATGATATATTTATGAATTGAATTTTGAACTTTTCATACACTTAAATATTAAGACCAAGGAAAGAGAAAAGCTTTTCAAACTAAAAGAAGTACAAAGGTGTTATCATTATCTATCCATGTGGCAGTAAAATTATGAAAAATAAATAAAGCGAAATACTACACTGAGTTTCAACTTTTATGAATATGGTTTAATTTTTAAATAGTTATAATTCTTTTTTAATATTCCATCAAAATAAATTGCAATGGAAAATATGTCATGAGAACCACAGTAATAGTATACAAATTGTGAATAGAACATCAAGAAATCTATACTTCCTTATAACTACAAAAAAAAAAAAAAAAACAGTGAAATATTAATGTATATCCCAACATTAGATTACATTCAAGGGCTCATAAAATAAATTTTCCCTGTTTCATCATAAAATTCAGCATACATTAAAGGTATTTTGAATTCAAGCATAATAAATTATGCCATTTGTTTTAAAATTGTTTTTACAATGTTTGACTAATAAATAGATATAATTATAATACATTTACTTGGTTTTTACCAAATTATTCACCATATTCAGTTGAATAATGATAAACTATAGAAACTGTAACCGGGATGTCCTCTAGCAGCTAAATATATATATACAACATGGTATACTCCAGGTATGAAACATATGAAACCGGCGATGAAAAACACTATTGGATGATAATCTGTACTTGGAGTCAACTCCACAATTATAGCCACTGATAATAATACTGTGAACAGGCATAAAATCAAAATATTTGAATTATCAGGATTTGACAGTATAGTCACATAGTATTAAGAGTTTTCATATGTTTTCATAAAAATAAAAATAAAACTTAATATTGCTGATTATTTATTTTTATATGTTGAAGGTTGCAAATATTAATAAGGTAATTTATAATTACGTGTTAAATCTTATATATCATTTTTTTTAAAATTGTACAATAAACAAAAAAATTAATCATATAGAACATTCCCTTACTACTATTTCATAGTCAAATTATAACTTGAAAATAGGCATTTCACTGTGCAATCTGGCCAAGAACTATCAGACATCACCCCAATCAGAGCTGGTGTCACTTAAGAAGCTGTAGCAGCACCACTACTCTTTAACTTATTTGCTTCTGACCAACCCCCTCCCCCCCATAATCATTACGGCTGACTTTGCTAACAACAAAACAATATTGACACTTCATCCAGTTCTTGTCATGTTCTCCAACCTACTTTAACGCCACCTAGACCTCTTAGAAATATATTAAAAAGAGTAGAAAATTAACCAGTTGAAATTCCAACATTGCATATTTACACTTAGACATATTAAATCCTCCTCTTATATACTTCCTCCCACTCAAAACATTCGATACCTTGGATTATACCTCGAACCACCAACAGAGCAACGTACATAAAAAACATAACATCCTAAACAACAGATTTTGACTACTCAGACTTCTCTTTACATCAAAAGACTTCAAATTAAACAACAAAATTATAATATACAAAACACTACTCAAACCTATTTGGACCTAAAGAATCAAATTATGGGGTTAAATCAAACCTTCTAAATTCTAAATATCTTTGCCAAATCACTAAAGCTTTTTTTCTATGTACCTATTCAATCATTCATTCCACCAAGATCTTTCAAACTCTCTCATACAAAAAGCTGCTATAATCTCTTATACAAAATTTCATTCCTGTCTATAAAATTATTCTAACCCTCTCATCACTGATATATTAAATCCAATCATCCATAGTGATCCCAGTAAACAATTAAAGTGTAATTGCATTGTGACCTAGTAGAAGATTAAAAAAAAATCAACTAGACACAACAAAATAACACTAAGGGGTGACCTCTTTGATCAAAACCTCTTCAACAAACATACAAATAAACACATCACTTATGCTTATTGTAAATATTATTTATAGATTGTATTATAAAAAAATATATGAATCATTATAACATTGACATCATTACATGAATAAAAAGTTCTTTTTTTTTCTGTTAATAAATTTTTAAGTTGATTAATAGAATCTATTTGTAACTTAAGAATTCTGTGGTAATATTTATAGTACAGTTTAATACTTTAATCAGATAAAAAATACAAACATAATGAAACATGATTTTTTTTATTCCTGTTATCAAGATATTTGCCTAGTTAATATATAATAAAATTATAATATCCGTAATATATGGGTAATTACCAATTCCAATAATAAGTAAAATGACAGCAGCTAATACCACACGCCAATTCTCTCGTACTTGAGGATGGTGCCAACACCAGTTCTTTTGGTTAGAATGCGTTGTTGAATTGTAAATCAACGAATCACTGTCTCGAGATAACGTCTAGAAAGAAAATGCGCAAATTTTTAAAAATTAAGTACCTATTATTAAAAAGAAATATGTAGTGGATAGTATGCAAAACTTACATCTTCAAATTTTTTTGTTCTTGAAATCGATTCACTTTCAATACCACCATAATTAGTAAATTTTGTTTGTTCAGGCGATTGTAAAGGGGAATTCCCTAAACTAGATACATATACTTTGATATCATCAATTGGTTCATCTTCAAATGCATCGTCGATTGAGAATCTTTTACTGTAAGACATAGTTCACGAATAACTTTTATTAAAAATCACTAAACAGTAAGTTTGATTTAATTTTGCATTTTCGATACTGTTATAACAAGTGAACAATGAATATTCAACACTGAAATACTAAATAACACTGAAGGATTTTAGTAAAAAACATAATGAATAATGATTAATGAATGTTAAATAGGTATAAAAATAAATATTATTTATAATATTTTTAAAACATTTAGGTATTCACTCAAGAATCGAAATGTGATTATCTGATTACCGTTATCAATGTTCATATAATTATTTGATAATATTTTAAAAATGATAACTTAAACAAAAACATCATTCTTCAATCTTTTATACTCATAATAATGAATTAACTTTTGAGTGTGTTTACATTTTTTTTTTTTTTTCGAAAATGTCTTAGTTTTTAATATTTGTGTTTTATTATTTATTGTTTTGTCAATAATCTACATCAATCAATGTGATCGTGTGTGTCGCTTTAGTCAATTTAGGATGAAAGAAAAAATGCCGCCTTTCAAACGTAAGAAAACGACAGGAAAATCATTTCCCGTCAAAGTGTGTACATTAGATGCCGAATTAGAATTCAACCTAGAGGTAAACTATAAATTTGTAACATCTGAGTATGCAGAATAATTTTTTCTATTTAAAAATATTTGCTTAGTTGAAGGCTACTGGCCGAGATCTTTTCGACTTAGTGTGCCGTACTATTGGATTACGAGAAACCTGGTATTTTGGATTGCAGTATGAAGATTCTAAAGGATTTATTGCTTGGTTAAAATTAGATAAAAAAGGTATTCCTCAACATGTTTGATTTAAAATAAAATATAATCATTAATTAATAAATTTTATTATAGTACAAGATCAAGGAATTCCTCAACAAACAACTATGCCATTTATGTTCCTCGCAAAATTTTATCCTGAAGAAGTAGCTGAAGAGCTTGTTCAAGAAGTTACTCAACACTTATTTTTTTTACAAGTTAATCGTGCCATTTTAGCAATGGATATTTATTGTCCGCCTGAAGCCTCAGTTTTATTAGCTTCATATGCTGTGCAAGCAAAAGTAGAAAAAATTTAAAAATTATATTTTTAGGTTAAACATATAATTAATTTATTCAAATCTATTTAGTATGGTGATTACGATGAAGGAACTTATAAGCCAGGAATGCTTGCCAGTGAAGAATTATTACCTCAAAGAGTAATTGATCAATATCAAATGACAGCAGAAATGTGGGAAGAGCGAATTAAAGTTTGGTATGCTGATCATAGAGGAATGTCAAGGGATGAAGCTGAAATTGAATATTTGAAAATCGCTCAAGATTTAGATATGTATGGTGTAAATTATTTTCCCATTAGTGTGAGTTAAAACTATTTGTAAAACCATACTAATTTTAACTTAAAATAATTATAAATTTTTGGTTTTTAAAACAATGTAGAACAAAAAAGATACAGATTTATGGTTAGGAGTTACATCTTTAGGACTTAATATTTATGAAAAAGAGAACAAATTAACTCCAAAAACAACATTCCAGTGGTCTGAAATCAGACACGTTAGTTTTGATGATAAAAAATTTACTATTAAACCTGTTGATAAGACATCACCAAATTTTGTATTTTTTTCACACAAAGTTCGAATGAATAAATTGGTAAATATTAAATAATCAAATTAGCACTAATGTAGAGACTTTAATTAACTAAGCAAATTATTTTCAGATTTTAGACCTGTGTATAGGAAATCACGATCTTTTTATGAGAAGACGTAAACCAGATTCAATGGAAGTACAACAAATGAAAACGCAAGCTAAAGAAGAAAAGTCTAGGTAACTATTAAATAATAATAACCATATTTTAAATTAATTAACCACAAAGAATTTATTATAATTATTATTACATTATTTATTAGACGGCAAATTGAACGCAATAAGTTGGCGCGTGAAAAACAATTAAGAGAAATTGCAGAAAAAGAAAAATCAATCATGGAACAACGATTGATGCAATACCAAGAAGAAATCCGTTTAGCAAATGAAGCATTAGTTAGTATTTTAAAGATTTTTACCTAGAAAATATGATAAAAAATATCAACAATACTAATAAATTTTTTAGAGACGATCTGAAGAGACTGCTGATCTTTTGGCTGAAAAGTCTCGAGTTGCAGAAGAAGAAGCTATGTTGTTAGGTCAGAAAGCGTCTGAAGCTGAACATAAGATCACTCAATTTCGTTTAACTGCACTTAAAGTATATTTAGAAATATGAAACAGATAATATTTTTATTTGTTTTAAATTAGAATATCTGACATTTGTTATATGAATAAAATTATACTATTTTTAATGTATAGACTGAAGAAGAAAAAGTAAGTCTTGAACGGAAAACACGAGAAGCTGAACAACTAACTGCTCGACTAGTAGATGAATCTGAAAGACGAGCAGCTGAAGCAAATAAACTTAAAGAGGAGTTGCTTAGAGCTCGTGTTGCTGAAAAACAAGCTAAAGAAAAATTGCTGGAGTTCCTTTCTAGAAATGCATATGTTAATACTGTGCGTAAAAATTTCTATATTTTAATTTTAATTTTGTTATTTATATACTTGAATTTTTGGTCTAATTTTTATTTTAGAGTGTTTCAAGTTTGTATTCAGTGTCAAGTAGTTCAGTATTAGACCTTCCTGCTGATCTTCATGCATTGAGATTAAATGCAAATTCACCATCACTTTCTCTTACTCATTCTACTCCACCAGCACTTGTAGACCATCATTTACCAGCATATGACTTTATTGCTGATAATGATATGGAACAGCTATCGTTAGAAATTGAAAAAGAAAGGTTATATTAACTACATATACCACTAATCTGATAATAATTATATTTAAATATGATTATATGTATACAGAGTTCAATATTTAGAAAAAAGCAAAAACCTACAAGATCAATTAAGAGATTTAAAAACGGAAATTGAAGTGCTCAAAGTAGATGAAAAACAATGTGAATTGGATATGTTACATGATGAACAAGTGCGACTTGGAGAAAACAAATACTCTACTCTAAAAAAAGTAAATAAATTAAATAATAATTTATTTTTTTATTTTTATAAGCTTAAATATTTTGATTTTAAAATTATCATATATTTATCTTTTAATATTAAGAAAATGTGTGTAAAAATGAATATTTTGAAATAAACTTGGCAAAATTAAACTGAAGACTAAATAGTAAATTATATTATATTGGTTTTAAAGCTAGTTTCAGTTAATTAGACTTTATATTCATGATATTAAGATAATAAAGGTTAATAATGTTAATATATTACTCAAACTTAAATGTAATTAAATAAATTCTAATCCAAAAGAGTATTATGGATATTCTTAGTCTTTCTTCTTTGAATTTGAATTTATTCTTTTTAGAGAAAACTAAAAATTTACAAATAAACCATATAAATACATTAAAGCTGAAAAATTAAAAAAAAATTAAATTAGAACATAATTACAAGTTAAAATTTGACTACTTAGCTCTTAAAGTTTCGTACAAATAAAAGATATATTTAATTTTACTTTGTTATTACAATGATTTATATTTTTAATTACATTGATTGAATGGAAAATAACTAGAATAATTATTCTATTTTTATACTTTTTATTTGACTATTATACCTATATGCTAATTTTTTAAATAATAAATAGGTGAAGTGCGGATCAACCAAGGCTCGTGTGGCATACTTTGAGGAGTTATGACAAATCAAAATTATAGAATCTCCTACAAATCAATCACGCAATACAAATGTATGTACAAATAGTTGTGCGTATATCCTGTTTTTACTTATTAATGAACAAAATAAACCATGTATAGTGGGAAAACTAATAATTTATACTCTTTAAATAATGTTTTGTTCATCACCTAACGAACAATATCAATCAAATAAAAATATATTAGTTTTATTTTACTTATTTCCTTACACTTAGTTTTATTTTAGAAAACAAAATTGGTACATAAGAAAAATGTAACATAGATTGAACGACTGAGTTTTTTCCTCTTACTATTAGAATTTATTAACTTATAAATTATATTACTATTTGAATTTTTTAAGATTTTAAACATTTTTATAAATTGTTAGTATTGAAATACCTAATAAGTAGTATAATATATAAATTATAAATATTGTCTACCATAGTTAATTACGTTGTTTAAAATATAATAAATTGTAAAAGTATTCAAGAATAAAAATAGCAGTTTATGTTTTATTTTAAACTATTAATGATTGGTAGTTATATTTTGAACTTCTTTTTACATTCCTTGTAATAAAAATAATGTAATTAACATATTATGTTGTGAATACTGTGCATAATTGCACGTAATATAATACACAAAAGAACTAAGTGATATATGTAGACATAATATTTCAGTCTCTAAGTATTCTTAAAAATAAATTAACTGTTTGATTACAATTTTTTAAATAAATATTCAAAGAACAATTTTTTTGATTGAGAAGTTATATTTACAAACTACTAAGTTAACGTAAGGATATGAAAATTAAAAAAAATTAAAATCTATTGTATTTTTCAATATATTATAATATTAAAACAAATTAGTTGGTATATTGGTTCATTTACTGTACATATAAATATCATCAATATTTAATTAAGTTACTTTGTAGTTTTTTTAAAATTGTATATTACAGTTATTAAATTATATAGTGTATCAGTATTATTTATACAAAAGTTAACTGGCATGGTACAAGTATATTCCATTTTAATTCAAAACTAGTAAACTCATCAACAGGCGGCTATTTTTGTTAAATAATTTAAACAGATGAATAAATAATCACTAATTATTCTTAAATAAATTGTTCTGTTGTTCTTTTAAGTAGGTAGTAAATATCTTGTGGAAATAAAAAGAAATTTTCAAGTTTAAATATTAATTTTTCAAATAAAATATTTTATTAACATTGATATTTGATAGGAATTTTATGATGTATTTTATATCACTATTTTAAGTTAAAAATGGGTTAATTTAATTTACTCAATTAGGACTATAGTAGTTCAGTAAATTAGGCAATAACAAAAACACTATACAATATGTCTAAAATGCAATTTATTCAATTAAATCATAGCCTTAATGTTTAATTTGTTGTTTTGAAAAGTGGGTCAAATTGTAAAGGAAATGCGAATTTTTTTTTTTAATAGTAAAGTTTGTAGTTAAATATTTATTAATTACAAATAATAGTGTTTTATAATTATAAGCATTACATCTTTATTTACTTTAAATTTTAATATTTACCTTATCATTTTTGTTATCATCTTATCATTGTATATTATCACCATCTATGTAGTTACTAGTTATTTTTTACCACGCTTTTTTGGTTTTTGTCTTGATTTTTACTCAATATTTAGAAATTAATTCGTTAATCGTTTGCATGTCATTATTTACGAGAAAATTGAGAAGTCTACGCAAATGGTAAGTATTTATTTGCATTATTTTTGGCGTATTTATTATTTTATGTATCTTTTCGTAATATGTAATAGATGTGCTTTTACTGTGTGAAAAATAATTTAAGTTGTTACTGAAACTTTAAATGAACTATATAATAGTATATTAGATCGTTTTAAGTTAGTTTTATTCAAATTTAAATATTATTTCTTCTAAGAATCATTCTAGGTAAGAATATTTTTAAAATAAATTTTTTTTGATATTCTATTCAAAGACGTATGTGTTGTCAATTGTCATATTTATAACACATTCCACTAATTTTAGTTTATTTCATGTTTTTGTTTTAAAGAAAATTATTTTCAACTTATTTAACATGTATATCAATTATTTATAGGCATCAAGTTTTGTACATCTACACTAAGGAATTCAGTACCTCAAAAGTAATGGCTAAAAGCAAATATGAATATGTACGAACATTTGAGTTTGAAGATAGATGTTTACAGAATTGTTGGATCGTTGTGCGATTGGATGGCCGTTCATTTCATAGGTCTGTTTTAAACTTTTCAATGTTTTATTAATGAATGCTATAAATTAATATAGTCTATAATTATTAATCTTTTTTTTTTTTTTACATCAAACTTAGTATTGATAAAATTTCTGATAATTCATATGAATTACTTATTTCAGTAAGAAATTGTATTAGTTACAAGACTATTTAATGTATGTAAAATATACCTATGACCTCTTTGATTAGGTTGATAGTTTACTTCAATATTATAAACAATAGTACACTATTTTTATTAATTTAGAGTTAGACGCTAAATATTTTAGCTTTTGACTTCTACATATTTGTCTCTCAAATAATGCTAGATCTAGGGCATTTAATGCCTGAGACTAGTTAAAATGCTACGCTTTTCTTCAAGAAAACATTATTTTTAAAATAAATCAAAAAAATATATTTTATAATATTATAAATATATTGAAACCTTGTCTCTTGATATAACAAATTTAATGTCTTGATATTTCATCTAAAAATTAACTCTTGTCTAAAGACAAACAGTAAAAAAACTTTTCATATAATATATAAGTTTAGTTATAGACTATATTTTGTTTTGTTCTGAAACCAATAGTATGAATGTTATTTTTGTATACAAATATTTAAATACATTTAAATTTCTAATAGGTTTACATCTTCACACAAATTTGAAAAACCAAATGATAAAAGAGCTTTAGAATTAATGAATAGATCTGCTGCAGCAGTTATGGAAGAATTCAGGGATGTGTCTTTAGCTTATGGACAGAGTGATGAATATAGTTTTATACTCAGGAAAAATACAGATCTTTATAATAGACGGCAGGCAAAAATTATGTCTGCAATTAATAGCATATTTTCTGCTTCATATGTTTATTATTGGAATACATATTTTGAAGATAAGAAACTTATATATCCACCATCATTTGATGCTCGAGTTGTTTTATATCCAACTGATCAAAATTTACGCGATTACTTAAGTTGGCGTCAAGCAGATACCCACATTAATAATTTGTACAACACAGCATTTTGGGGGCTTATTTCTACAAAAGGATTATCAAATAATGAGGTACCAGTTTTAAGTAAAATAAAAACTTGATACATTTTTTTTTGATGGAATATGTAAATACTTATCTTGGATGTTTGTTTCAGGCTGAAAAAATATTAAGTGGGACTGTGTCAGCAGAAAAAAATGAAATATTATTTAAAGAATGTGGAACTAATTATAACAATGAGTTACCAATTTATAGAAAAGGTACAGTGTTAGTAAGAAAACTAGTTAATTTACCTCCATCGAAGTCCAAAAAACATGTCATATGTCCATTACATGTAGACATTATAGGAGATGGTTTCTGGGAAGAATATGATGAAATATTAAGTTTAAAGGATTTAAAATTAAATAAAGACTTTAAGCCAGATGAAACTTTTTACTTGGTAAAACGTTCTTAAGTAATTTTTTTTTACAAACATGAATTTTATATCAAACATACAAATGTAGAATTATATAATTTTGGAGAATAAAAAACTGGTATATGTTAATTATGTTATTTTTAGTTTGTTAATTTAGTGTACAGCATAATATGAGTTTTTAATAATAAACATTGTCACTTTTAATGAGCTTCTCCAACTTTACCAGCAACTCGCTTGAAATCACCCATGTTAGTTGTAGATATAGGCATTCCAATAATATCCAAACTATCTATTCTTGTTACTTCCTCATCAGTTTGATTGTTTACAACAAATATTTGCAGATTATGGACGTTCTGGAATTTTACATATTTCAAGTTGACAATTTTACCATCTAATTCATCAGGTTTTAATTCAAGTTCTTGTGTAGCTAAATTACAAGTTGCAGCATCAAAATCTATAGTATTAGGCTGGTTAATAAACAACTTCAATGATTTTGGTCCATTATCTTTAGGAGCTTTAACCTAAATAACAATGAAAAAATTAATATTTTATTTATATGTAGTTTGATTTATTAGTCACATAAAAACAATCAAAGAATTTTGATATATTTTAGTATATTCTATACATAGTTAATTGAAATACATTATTAAGTTTGCACTATGAAATAAACATTAAAGTGCAAAACAATCTAAAAATTTAAAGATCATGCATTTTCCTACTAATATTGTAAAATATAGAACTAATTGACTGAGATACATGTTTAAGCAATCAATAGCTCAGTTAAGCAATATGATCACATATTGGTTTATTTGTTATTGTCTATTATTAATGGTTAACTCACTTTGATAGAATGCACTTTGACAGATTGCGTGAAGGTTAATGATAAAATAAGTTGCTGATCACAATCTGATTCAATATAGCCACGGTTCTCGATAAATGCTGAAAGCGGATGGTCATCTGAATCATTCAGAGCTTCACACTGATTTTTCATGATGAACGAACTTAGGTCCATTTGGCCAGGTACTCCACAGTCTTCGCCAGAAGCAGCACACGCTGCATCATACAGTTGTTTGATTTTTGATTCTACAGCTACAATATCAGCACCCTGAATTTTTGCCACTTTTACTTTATTGCGATACAGTATGAAAGTCGGCATGGCCGACACACCTTGACTAGCGGCTGTTTCCTGGCATTTGTCGACATCCACTTTAAGGAACACTGCACGGTCGTATTTATTTGAGAGTTCATCATACAGAGGCGCGACACGTTTACACGGACCGCACCAGGTAGCGGAGAAATCAACAACGACCAGCTTCATGCTGTTTGCGTTTAATTCTTCTTGAAACTGGGGATCGTGCATGATTTCTTTGACGACCATTTTAACAATTTAACAGTGGTAACTTGAAGAAATATACCAATTAAATTTCGATTGTAAATTTGGAATGATTAATGAAACGTAGAATAATATATTATGGACTATCAAGCTCTAGCATAACATACAGGCATGACACACATAACTACATAAGTTGTAAATTGTAATCACTATTCACTAATCAGGATGATGAAGATATATTTTCATTAGATAAGTTTTGTGAGGTATGTATATTCCATATTTTGCAAGTCAACAAACATTATCACAAACTGAAAAAACAGTGTGATCTGATCGACAATAATAAATTAACCTTTTATTATCAGTTATTGTAATATAATATTGTATCATAGTTAGTAGCACAGATATCTATCTTCAAAGATCATGAATGATGAATTTACGCTGTGTCTAGATAGTAGATACCCGGGTGCCCGTGTCGATTAAACGTACACGGACCCATCCGTGTATAATATATTCGATACCCGAATTGGTCGAATTGTTAACGCGCATGCGCCATAGACACTAATATTATTTCATGTTTATATGCTATTTATAGACAAACTAATTTTATATTTAATATTTATTTTATTTTAATTTATTGTGAGTTGTGACGAATTTATGATTTCCAACATTAATTTATTGTTTATAACATATGTATATTTTAAATGAACAAGTGCAGTCAAGGTTAATTTACAGATTTTATTAATTTATGGTAAAATATGTTTAATTTCTCCAGATTTAATCATAAGAGTATCAAATGTACTTGAATCACTATCATTGCACATCCCAAAAAATATTTTCATCTCTGCTTGAACAGCATCAGAGCTTACAGATTGCATAAATATTACTCCTTATTAAATAGTCACGACCAGACCCCTTAAGTATAGATAAATAAAATCGAATGAAAGTTATGCACACACGGATCACAATAAACACGACGAATGTATGATTCACTAAAATCTACTCAATGACAGATAACTACTTATCCCAATACGTCTCAGATAAGATAAGAAAACTACTTTTCCAGATTATATGGACTATAAATATGACTATAAATACGTTATTTTAATTAAAATAAGCAAAATTTTACATAATATTATGCATTACCATATAATATATCCAATAAAAAAAAAATCGTAAAATACAGAAATATGCAGTGCATGTCAAAAAGTTACGAAATATGCAAAAAAAAAAAAAGCAAAATAAAACTTTAAATTTAAGATCTAATGACTAAAAATCAAACTTGTAACTTAACTAGCTATTTCTTGGACTATTCAGAAAAAAACATGTAATAAATGCATATAAATCCGAGTCCGGCTAATGTTACTACTAGATCACACGCCACCGCGATTCCGATAACGTTCGTATAATCGCTAATTTCCGGTAACCGGTCCTCGCCGGTCGACGCACACACATTACATAAAACGCTCATGACGTCATGGTAACATTCTCGGTGTCGCACAAATTAACTGAATGACCCCCAGCCATAAGACATAATATTATACATGTCAATGTAAAATATAATGTGTACAAATATTTCTTGAAAATAATAAAAATACTATTAAAATTCTAACGATACCGAATTACCGACCGGCGACCACTTTGACCAGGTGTCAGATTTGCCGACTTAATATTGAAAAATCATGAGTGGGGAGGGGAAGGTAAGACACCCTCCCTCAAAGTACGGCCCTGATTACTATAGTCTTAGTCTATAACTTTGATTATTGTCGTCATGATGATTTAAGATGATAGTACTCATTACTCTGAACACTGAACACGAAAGTTGACTAAATCTTTTGGTCAATAACTTCACCAGTTTATTAAACTATATAATTATACAACTGTTAGACACCTCAATGAAATCATCATACTTGTAAATATATTAGTAAAATATAGTTTATTATTCAAGTTAATACAATAATACTTAACTTTTGACAATGATTAATGACCGAAAAAATAATTGGATTTATTTTGTAGGCTACATTTACTAAACAATTTAAATATAGTATTTTAATTATAGGATTTTAATTCCTAAAAATAGTGGCATATTAGTTTTTTGTTGAGTTCTGATTATCCTGCTTTCATTATTAGATCGGCAGAATTCATTCGTGTGTAAGAATTCGTCTGTATATAGCTAATACATTTTTAATAAAAACTACAATCATTGGATGTGCTGAAGTAAATAAATCACCCATTTTGACATGAAGACTTACGTTATATCTCCTTACTAATTTTTTGTCGAACAATATTATTGGTGTCGGTATTTTCATGTTCGTATTATTTATAATCATTTTATTGTATTATTTAAGCAAGATGAAACCAACTTAAATAACGTTAACAATGATTATTGATCGTTGTTGTCGCTGGTTTTTAATGGACTGTATAATTTTTAATATATAATTTTCATTAATATAGAAAGGTATAATTTATTTTAAAAATACTGAGACAGACACGGTGACGCGCATATGTACATGGATACACGGTTAAACACACACTAAAATAGGTAACATTCGTACATGGATCGGATCGACATTGGCGATCATAAGATAACATAACAATAGATAATAATAATAATAGTGACATTTCTGAAGTATAATATACGCGTCGACAATCGTATTAACGATATGTCGTATTTAGAAATTAAAAACGTTTGTACATCATCACGGTCTAAAACGATTCAAAAAGTGTTACGTGAAAATTGAAACTAGACTTTTAGAGTTGCGTCACCGACCAGTGACCACTATATAAGTTTTAGATTAAAGTTAAATTTATTCGTAGATGCTATAATATCTCATACGACTGAATTATACACCAATTTAATTCATTGCAATGTGTGAATCTATTATAGACATACTTTATTTTTAGGTTCTGAGTTATTGAGACCATTTTTCCTATTCTTCATCTGTCCCTTTCTACTGATGTTACTCTCTATGGTTTATCTGGTTCTATTATTTTTACATCGTTTCTTAAACAGTCATTCCAGTGACTTCTTACCAGTAGTGTTCTAACTTCCAAGTGTCGTAACTACCAACTATTGAACCTATTTATAGTGCTTCTTCGTTTTAATCTATTATACAATATGCCACTGCAAAATATTTCAACGATTTTCTCGCTAATCTTGTAACAATTAATTTATATAATACTCATCAATGCGAAAAAAAAAACAATAATTTTTTAAATACAATTTATAATTTTATTAACATTTTTTTTAACATCAAAAACATGTACCAAAGCATTTTGAAAAAAAAAAGGTATAAATGTATTGTGAACATTATGGATATAAAAAGAGAGAAAAAATGGAAGGGAGGGAGGGAGCGAGGGGGATACAATGGTAGGACGACATAATAAACTAGGTGAAGGGATATGAGATGGCGAATGGATGAAACAGATGGAAAAATAACATACTATACAGGCCGCTGGTTAGGTTAGGTTGGGTTCTTAGTTAGGTTTTCGATGAAAGGGGTAGGGGGTGGTTCCTACGAACGCTTTTTTAACGTACCTACGCAACAAAAGAATAAAGCGATGCGTTTTACGCGTTTCCATGTAGCGGCTAAACGTTTT